GCCCCTCTGACCATGGCTGTCTGTCTGTACTTGTTACGGTGCAACCTCCTCCTCCTCCACCTCCTCCTCCACCTCCTCCTCAGGAGCCGCTGCAACTTCCCCTCCGCCAGCCTCCTCCTCTGCTCGGGGACTGCAAAGGCATGGGATAGACCCAGCGCGACTTCTGCCTCCCCGCCAGCCCTCGCTCCGTGTCCCCCTTTAAATTAAAGTCTGGTCCTCGCTCCTCGTCGTTTTAGAGATTCATTGATCAGTCTAGTGCCCCCCACCCCGATTTCATCTTCCCTGTCTGGGGCAGCGGGTCGCAGGGGACCGAGAGTTTATTTTAGGGAGGGGGCTCTCCACCTCCCGTCCCCCCGCCCCCCACGTTTCTCCTCCTTTCTTCGGCCGTGACTTGATGTCCCCGCTCCTCTCGGCTCCCGCCGCCCGAACTCACCGTCCTGCGCTCGAGTGACGCACCGGCACCCCCCGCCCACAGCCCAGACGTCCCCTCCCTCGCTGCCACCCCGACCCGTCTCGGAGCTGGACCCGGTGGCGACTTCTCCGCGGAAGGGTGAGTGCCGTGCGGGGTCTTGGGGCGCTGTGGACAAATGCTGGAGCCATCCACTCCGGGGGGGCAGGGGTCGCATGGTGGGGAGAAGGCTCCGGGTCCGGCGTGGACCCGAGGTGGAGACTGCCTCCCGCTCCCCCCGCCCCCCTCATTCACTAGCCCTGCTGTGTTTCTAGGTATTTATTGCCAGACTTCCACCATCGGGGCACGAGCATGCTTCTAAAATGAGCGGCAATGGCACGCTTTCTGTCTCTAGGATGCTTCGTGAGCTGTAACAGTCAGCAGTGCGATCTAAGAGACTGTGACCTGCACAGAGTGTCACATGGCCAGTGGGTACATGTTCCTCCAAATCAGAGTTAAACTTTTATTGAGTCAAGGCAAGACAAAAGGTTATTTCTCATTTGGGTGTGTGATCCTAGAGCAAGGGAAGGCAGGTTGCCTAGTGGTGTGGCTGACTATTTTTATTTAAAAATAGTTTTATAGGTTCCCTTTTGGAAAAAAAAATGAATTAAGTATTAAAGTAAAGGTGATGAAGTCTTTGAACCTGTTGGAGGAAAGCAAGGTAAGATGAAAATCCAGCTTCATACTGCATCTTCAGTTCACCTCTTTTCTAGCAAGAAATTACAACACCGGATTTTTTATTTCTCAGGCACTGGGCACAGTGGGGTGTGTTAAGGATAAAAATAGTGGTGTTTTTTTTTCCCTTTTGCTATCCCTCTTTTGTATTTGTGATTGCTCTTAAACAATGCCATGCTACAGAGTTCTGTAAAAATTTAATTTGGTTTCTTGATTGTTGGTAGCTCAGAAGTATACATACTTGCCCATATATGCTTTCTGAGAATCTTGCCTTATGCATCTTTAGTATTTAATTGGAGATAAAGGTAAAAATTATGCGTAGTTACTCTGAATCGGCTTCTGAGGTTACTTTTAAGAATTCAGCCTATTTAAAATGTTATTACTCTTGTGGATCAAGTTCTGGTCTAGTTGTCCACAAGATTCAAATTAGGCCAAACCAAACGTGTTTTGATATATTAAACTATAGGAAAGGCCTCTTAGTAGTTCATTCTCTCCTTCTCTTTCAGACTAATCAGAATAAGTTGCTACTGAATTTAAGTTTAAAGAATAGACTAAACCTGTACTAAAACCTGCCAGTTTTCTATAGAAAGATTTATTTTTGAAGAGCAGAAATGTGTTTATGATCAGCCTAAAGTAGTCAAGTTGACTCAAATGTAAATGCTGTCGTAAGGAAAGGCTGGTCATAAGCTCCCCAATCTTGCAAAGTGTTTCAGGAAGACTCACACAGAGCTTTTCTGAATTGTTTAATAAATGTATCATGCGGCCTTTTGCCTGAGTGTCGGACTGAATCATTGAGAGGCCGGAGCACAAGGAGCCAGGCTGCCTGAGTTTGAATCTTGCTGCCATCCTTCGGTAGCTGTTTGACCTTGGGCAACTTTTAAACCTGGCCTCTGCTGATTTCCTCCTGTAAATGGGAAGGATGACTTCCTTAACGGGCTTCTGTAGGGATAACTAAGAATGCATGCCACAGAGCACTTGGCGTTAGCTGTTCCATCATCACCATCACCCTTGGCGAGGATGTCTAATACAGTGGTTAAGAGTGGGGCCTCTAGAGTTAGGTTCTGTAAGTTCAAGTCCCAGCATTTCCTCTTGTTGTCTGTGTGACCATGGTCAAGTTAACCACAGATTCCCCATCTGTAAAATGGGGATAATAGAAAACACTTCATAGGGTTATTGTGGGGTCAGAATGAGTTAACATATGCAAATATTTTTTATTTTTTTTAAATATATTTTTTATTGATTTCAGAGAGGAAGGAAATGGAAGAGAGAGAGACAGAAACATCAGTGATGAGAGAGAATCATTGATCGGCTGCCTCCTGCATGCCCCACACTTGGGATCGAGCCCGAAACCCGGGCATATGCCCCAACGACCGGGAATTAAAGTATGACCTCCTGGTTCATAGGTCAACACTCAATCTCTGAGCCATGCCTGCCGGGCTGCAAAGATTTAAAAGAAATTTTTTAAATTGATTTCTGAGAGAGAGAGAGAGAGAGAGAGAGAGAGACAGAGAGACAGAGAGAGAGACAGAGAATAAGAGAAACATCACATGTTGTTCCACTAATTTATGCATTCATTGGTTGATTCATTTTTATTCAATTTATTGGGGTGTCATTGGTTAATAGGATCATATAGGTTTCAAGTGTACATTTCTATGATACAAGATCTGTATATTGCACTGTCTGCCCGCCACCCAAAGTCAAACCATCTTCTGTCACCGTAAATTAGGTCCCCTCCACTTGTATATGCTCTGACTCTGCATTGAACCAGCAACCTTGGTGTATCCAGATGACGCTCTAGCCAATTGTGCTACTCGGCCAGGGCCATGCAAAGATCTTGACTAATATTTAGTACATCTTTGTAAAGATCTTGACTAGCATTTGAAACATCTTTTCAAGTTTAATTCCCTGTTATCCTCCTGGTATGTCTTGAAACATGAGTAAATTTTTTGTAAAGATCAAGAATTGTTGCTGTCAAAATAAGTAGAATTATTATCAATATGCATGATATTCTTCAGGATTATACTTTAAACAAGCATTTACATATATATTTATGAAATTTAGTTATTCGATGAGCTGAGTTGATCACTTTCATTTAAGCTTGCATAAGAAGATGTATATACTTCTATTATGGTGATAGCTATCACACATTTGCTGTTATCTGTGATTTTCTCCTTTACTAAAGAGAAAGCTCTTTGAGGGTAAGAAGACTGTTTCAGCACAGCTGCTGGCATGGCTCAGTGGTTGAGCTTTGACCTATGAACCAGAAGGTCACTGTTCGATTCCCAGTCAGGGCACATACCTAGGTTGTGGGCTCAATCCCCAGTAAGGAGCATGCAGAAGGCCATGCAACCAGTCAATGATCCTCTTTCATCATTGAGGTTTCTCTCTCTCCCTCTCCCTTCCTCTCTATTATTATAGATAATAATAGAGATATTTTTTATCTATTACCATAGATAAAAAATATATCTATAATAATAAAAAAAGCATAATATGCTAATTAGACCAGACAGCCAGATGACCTTCCGGACAAAGCCAGGGCTGCGAGGGCAAAGCCCCTTGCATGAC